TTGCTGTAAAGACATACTTGAGACTGAGTAATTTATAAAAAAGAGAGGTTTAATGGGCTCATGTTTCTGTGATTTGTATGGGCTTCTGCTTCCAGGGAGGCCTCAGGAAACTTACAGTAATGGGGCAAAGGCAAAGGGGAAGCCGGCAGGCTGGGAACAGTGGCTCATGCCTGTACTAGAATTTTGGTAGGCCGAGGCAGAAGGATTGCTTGAGCCTAGGAGTTCGAGACCAGGCTGGGCAACATGATGAAACCCTGCCTCTAAAATAAGATTAAAAAAAATTAAAATCAAATAAAAATTACCTGGGTGTGGTGGCATGTGTCAGTAGTTCCAGTTACTCCAGAGGTTAAGAAGGGAGAATGGTTTGAGCCTGGTAGGCAGAGGTTGCAGTGAGCTGAGATCATGCCATTGTTTTGAGACAGAGCCATACCCTGTCCAAAAACAGAAAGGAAAAAAAAAGAAAAAAAACATTTTTAAAGAGGGGAGGCAGGCACATCTTCACATGGCCAGCATCAGATAAAAAGAGAATGAATGGGGGAGATGCTACACAATTTCACACAAGCAAATCTTGGGAGAACTCTATCACAAGATGGCACTAGGAGGATGGTGCTAAACCATTAGAACCCCCCTGCCCCCATGATCCAATCACCTTCCACCAGGCCCCACCTCCAACTCTGGGGATTGCAATTCAACATGAGATTTAGGTGGGGACACAGAGCTAAAACATATCAGGTATCTACTATAGTGGCAAATATCAGGTTGCCAATGCAAATAATATCAAGTGTTAGTCTAAATTTGAAGTTAATCCTCGTTGTGGTATGAGTCAGAAAAACGAGCATATCAGAGAAATGAGGCTTAAAGGTATGAGTTCTAGGAACAGCAATCATAGATTTGGCCAATGAATATACCAGATTTTTTTTCATTTTTTTTTTTTTTTTGAGACAGAGTCTCGCTCTGTTGCCCAGGCTGGATTACAGTGGCACAATCTCAGCTCGCTGCAACCTCCGCATTCTGAGTTCAATCGATTCTTCTGCCTTAGCCTTCCGAGTAGCTGGGACTACAGGCATGCACCAACACACCTGGCTAATTTTTGTACTTTTAGTAGAGATAGGGTTTCACCATATCAGCCAGGCTGGTTTTGAACTCTGGACCTCATGATCTGCCCGCCTTGGCCTCCCAAAGTGCTGGGATTACAGGCATGAGCCACTGCATCTGGCCCAATATACCAGATTTTCTATGGAAAATTCAGTTTTTAATATTTCATTAATTTAGTCACACAAATTGCCCTGTCAGATTGTGTTCTGTGATATGAAAGACCAAAATAGATGCTCCTTTATCAACTAAGAAGAACCCTAAAGTTAAGGAAATGAAAGTTATTTATGGGTGGAGGGTTCAGGGCTTGGCTGGCATGGCAACTTTGCAAACTCCTAAGGCTACAAGAAAAACCACTCTTGCTAAATTCGCTAAAAATATTGCGAAAATTGTCAGAACCTTACTAACCCTGATTTACAATCCAAACCACTATAGCTCTGATTGGACAAAGAACCAGCTTTACAAACATTCTTTCCTGATAAGCAACTGAAGACTTCAAGCCAGTTTCAGCCAGTTTATAGAGACTACATGCAAACTTTGTGTCCAACAGTTCACCTTTTGACATGAAAAGCCAAGTTCCACCTAATTTTAATGTTAAAATCTTACCCCAAAGTGAATATGGGATGTGTTACATATGTTTATCCATTACACATGTGTTCAACTCCCCTCATATATATATAGCTTTTCTCCCAAATGTGCTGAATGTTTTACTCTATTGTGTGATGCAGGCCATGTGAGGCATAAAAACCAACCTGCTCCCTTCCCTCTGGGAAGAGAAAGCACCTGTGGCATAAGCTGTAGACTGTCTCTTCCAGCTTTGCACGCTGAAATCACCAATAAAGCTCTCCTTTCTACTACTTAGCCATCCTGGTGGTCTTTTGGATAATTTTCTTTTTCTTTAAAGAAACATCATCTATCTGACTCTGTTGCCAAGGTTGGAGTGAGGTGGTGCCATCTCGGTTTGCTGTAGCCGCAGCCTCCAGGTCTCAAGTGATCCTCCCAGTTCAGCCTCCCAAGTAGCTGGGACTACAGGTATGTGCCACCATGCCCAGCAAAATTTTTTTAGTTTTTGTAGAGATAAGGTCTCACTATGTTGCCCAGACTGGGCTCAAGTGATCCTCCCGCCTCAGCCTTCCCAAGTGCTGGGATTACAGGCATGAGCCATTGGACCTGGCTGGATGACAGTTCTTTAGGTTTATCTGTTCTTATTTTAGGTTTGGAAAGATGGTATGACACTGTGATGTATAATAAGATTATGCAGTATGTACAGATAGTCTTCATCCCAGTATTCTGACACACAGCTCCTAAAACCCTGGGAACCTCCAAAGTGATAAGTGGTTTTTCTGTATGCTAAGGAAACGACAATGATAAATGGGTTTCTGCATGCTAGAAGCTCCTGGATAGCTTCAGGATGGGGGAGTTTCTGGCCCAGGAACCAACCTTGTGATTAAAGAGTTTCGGTCCCAACCCCAACCTCGAAAGAGAGGATGAAGGTTGAGCTAATCACCAACGGTCAATGATTTAATTAATTCTGCCCACATAAGGAAGCCTCCATAAAATCCCAAAAGAAAGGAAGAGGCAGGTAGATCACTCGAGCCCAGGAGTTCAAGACAAGCCCGGGTAACATGGTGAGACCCCATCTCTACAAAAAAATACAAAAATTGGCTGGGTGTCGTGGCGTGCACCTGTTAGTCCCAATTAGGAGGCTGAGATAGGAGGATTGCATGAGCCTGGGAGGCAAAGGTTTCAGTGAGTAGAGATCATGCCACTGCTCACTCCAGCCTGGGTGACAGAGTGAGACCCTGTCTCAAAAACAAAAACAAAACAAAAATTCAAAAGAAAAGGGTCGGATAGCTTCCAAATTGCTGAACATGTGGAGGTGCCTAGAAGGTGAGGCACCCAGAGATAGTGTGGAAGCTCTAGACTTCTGCTGGCCTTTCCTTATGCATCTCTTCCATTTGGCTGTTCATCTGTATACTTTATTATATCTTTTATTAATAAACTGAAAAATATAAGTATAGTGTTTCCTTGAGTTCTGTGATTTGCTCTAAGCAAATTAATCAAATCTGAAGAGGTGGGCATAGAGACCTCAATTTACAGTGGGTTAGTCAGAAATGTAGGTGACAACCTGAAGCTTGTGATTGGCATCGGAAATCGGGAGGCAGTCTTTGAGGACTGAACCGTTAAACTGAAGGATCTGATGCTATCTTCCAGTAAATAGTGTTAGAAATGAATTAAATTATAGGACCCCCAGCTGACGTCTGCTGGAGAATTACGTGGTGTGTGGGAAAAATCCCATGCATCTGGTCACAGAACCATTCTGTGTTGTATTGAGTGAATGTAAGAGTAAGAAGAACACTTTGGGTAAGGGTCTGTAAGAGTAAGAGTAAGAAGAGTACTACAGTGCCTCTTGTCTGTAATCCTAGCAATTTGGGAGGCTGAGACGAGCAGATCACTTGAGGCCAGGAGTTGGAGACCAGCGTGGCCAACATGGTGAAATCCTGTCTCTATAAAAAAATAAAACAAGAAAAAATTTAAAAGAAAAGGATTTGATTTACCCCCCCCCATCTCCATTAGATGTTGTAAATGTACCTGGTCTCCAAGCTTCTTGAACTGTGTCCATTAGCAATACAGTTTTGAACTGAAATCCCTAACACAAGAAATGTACACAAAACTAGAAACTTAAAAGGATTAAACAAAATATATAAGTGGATCTTCTAATATCCACACACTCCTTGGAAGGTCACGTGCACCTGCTGTCCATGTACGCCATTTTGGAGAACACTAATGGAAGAGTACGGGCAGTGTTTACAGTGAGAAGAGGCCCAGGACTACTTCAGATAATCTCCACACCTGGAATCTGATCTGAAATAAGCTCTGATCTGAAATCAGATCTGAAATCTGTAATTAAGAATCTAACTTAATTTGTGTTTGACTGCTGATGGCTTTTAAGCCTTACCCCACCCCTCTTCCCTTTCTGCCCCACACCTCTGGCAAGCTAAGAAAGCCTGGGTACTGGCGAGATGTGGTGGCCCATGCCTGTAATCCCAGCACTTTGGGAGGCCAAGGCAGGAAGATCACTTGAGCCCAGCCTGGGCAACATAGTGAGACCTCCATCTCTTAAAAAAAATAAAGAAAGTAAAGCCTGGATGTTCCCTTCTTTGATACCAGTGGGAAATTCAAACCACATGCAAGAAACATCACTCCTGCCCTAATTCCTAATCACCATAAAAACCCCAAGTCCATCTCCTTCCCTGTTGTCAAGTCATTTTTGGATTTGCTTAGGAGCTGCCCTGCTTTCCCCAGAAAGCTTCATTATGTGAGTCACAACCCTTTTATATTCTGTTAGTGTGTGTGTGGCTTCATCAGTCATTTTTTTTTTCTTGAGACAGGGTCTCACTGTGTTGCCCAGGGTACAGTGCAATGGTGCAATCATAGCTCACTGCAGCCTCAACTTCTGGGCTCAAGTGATCCTTATGCCTCAGCCTTCTGGGAAGCTGGGACAACAGGTGCGCACAGCCATGCCCAGATAATTAATTTTTATTTTTTTTTTGCAGAGATGGGGCCTCTCTATGTTGCCCAGGTTGGCCTTGAACTCCGGGACTCAAATGATCCTTCTACCTTGGCTTCCCTAAGTACTGGGATTACGTAGGTGTGAGCTGCTGAATCTGGCTGTCAGTCTGGATATCTGAACCAAATTCTGGGCATGGAATGCATCCTGTCTCATTGAGGGATTGCCACAAAAAAATAGCATCCTCCTTTACAGTTCATCAACTGCTTTATTTATTTTCATAGCACTTAATATCACCGGACATATTATATATTTATTGTTTGTCTTCCCCACTAGACAGATCCCCAGCTTTAGTAAAGCGTTTGGCATAATCATCCGAGTGGTACTTTGCTAGCACTGTTTTTTTATGTTATTTTATTTTATTTTACATAAACGACTTGATGGAGCTAGCACTGTTAAAGGCACTAGTGCTACAGTCATGAACAATGCCATTGCCTGCATAAGGTGTACACTCCAGAGAACAGGGTAGCTGTTCAATACATATTTGTTAAATGAAAGACTATTAATATTATTTTTCTCTGGAAGTAAGATATTAAAAATATAATATTTCATAAATTTTTAAATTCATTTTTTTTGCATCAAAAGTGTTTAAATAGGAATTTATACTCATAAGACATAGCTAACATCCAAAGTAGACAATTAAAGATATTATTTGAAAATTCTTTACTTAGTACTAAAGACTTCCTAAATTTGCACATTAGCAAGATTGCTAATTGGCATTGGCACCATTAGAGAGTTAATCTTTGGCTCATGATTATTCAAAGAACATCCAGAAAAATTTCAACCATTACAATCAGTGAGTATAATTTTATATTTCAGCAAGTACAGTGGTCATGTTCAGCAACAGCCTCACTTACAAATTAAAGTAAGCTCACTTCAGTGTTGCATTTTGATGCTGTTTTTCCCCCTTCTCTTGCAAATACCAGCGAAATACAAATTGCTTCTAAGTGGCAATCCAAACAAGGGAGGAATTATGGCTAACCAACTAGTTGCTAATATTTGTGTTTTTATTTTTTATTTAAGAAAAGATTTAAATAATAGAGATAGGGTCTCACCATGGTGCCCACGCGGGTCTTGAACTCCTAGGCTCAGGAAATCCTCCCACTCGGCCTCCCAATATGCTGGGATCACAGGCTTTGGCCACCATGGCCCAGCCTGTTAATGTTGGTGAAAGGCAAATTGCAAGCTTCTATGGTTTAACTTCAGCAGAAGGGTAAAGGGCTCCCCACCTGCCATCTTGTTCCATGAAAAGAGTATACTCTGATTACTAGAATGAATGTTCAAAATTCAATACAAAGATTCAATAACGATCAACATTTCTAAACACTGATTTTTCTTTTTCTCTTTTTGAAATTTTTTTAATGTCATGCAGGTAATAACACTGATTTTTCTCATACTCAGAAACATCTACTTAGCAATTGTTTGATACTAATTTGCAAAATATAATAATGTTATACAAATATAAGTTACTACTAATACATAGTAGAAATAATTGCATGATTCCTGATGTTTATATTCAAGGTATAAACATGACTGATTTTGCTAAAAGTATAGAATAAAAAAACAATGAAGCTGGTATGTAAAAAATTAAAGAATATCTCAATTAGATATTTTTGTTCCCAATTTCTTTCAGACAGATCTACGAAATAATACAGAATCTAATGTCAATATATCCTTTCATATGAAATAAAAAAAAAAGGGGTTTAAGTTGTGAGATCATTTCTATTTTTAACTTTTTAAAAAAATAAAGACTGGGTCTTGCTGTGATGCCCAAGCTGGTCTCAAACTCCTAGGCTCTAGTGAGCCTCCTGCCTCAGCCTCCCAAAGGGCTGTGACTATAGGCATGAGCCATTGTGCCTGGCCTGTGGGATCATTTCTATTGGTTTTATCGATGTATCAATTAATGAGTCAACAATTAATTAACCTTAATTATTTCTTTTTCTAAATAAGTATCAGCTGATTTAATCTCGCCCAATTGAATGAGTCTCCTTTGGTTGATCAATGCGATAGAGAAACTCTGCAGGTAAGAAGTATCCAAGATATTCCACTATATCTGGAGTAGTGTCATAATGGTAGTGTCCACCTTCTCCATGATGACTAAAAAAATGAGTGTGCTCCAGTCGCAAATCAAACCCCTAGGACAATATACAAATAACATGTTAGTACTCAAATTATTGTGATTAGAGTTTAAGGGGGAAGGAGAACTTTTCATGTTGCAGTAGTTTTTATTTTTTATATAGGTAATGCATTCACATGTTCTAAATTCAAGGAGTGCAAAAAGATATATCCAGTAAAATGTATCTTCTTCTCTCTTGCCCTCACCACACACTACCCTTCTTAGCAGATAACCGATGTAAGCAGTTTCTTGTATACTGTTTCAGAAATATTTATTTTTACTCAAATGTATTATTTTGTACACACTTTTCTGCACATAACTTTTTTTCACTTAACAATTTAATTTTGAGATCTTTGTATATCAAATCATAAAAGAGCTTCCTCATTCTTTTACACCTACGTGGTATTCCATTGTTTACATAACTTCCCAACTGAATGTAATCACTCAATCAAAAGATATGATCAGGCTGGGTACAGTAGCTCACACCTGTATCCCACCACTTTGGGAGGCTGATGTGGGCAGATCACTTGAGGTCAGAAGCTCCAGACCAGCCTGGACAACATGGCGAAACCCTGTCTCTACCAAAAATACAAAAATTAGCCGGGTGTGATGGTGAGCACCTGTAATCCCAGCTACTCAGGTGGCTGAGGTAGGAGAATTGCTTGAACCCAGGAAGCAGAGGTTGCAGTGAGACGAAATGGCACCACTGCACTCCAGTCTGGGCAACAGAGCAAGACTCTGTCACAAAAACAAAACAAAACAAAACAAAACACCAGTAATACAGTAGACATTTGCTTGGAACTAGTCTATAATTTTTTTTTCCTAGTATATAGTATTATAATATAATGAACACCAAACAAGATGATAGGAGACCTGAATCCTAGTTGTGACTCTACTATTGTTTGTTTGTTTTGAGATGGTAGTTACACTGTTACCCAAGCTGGTCTCAAACTTCTGGATTCAAATCAGCCTCCTCAGTAGCTGGGAATACTGTGGTATGCCACCATGCCCAGCTACACCTGCTATTTAATAAAATAATTTTGGATGTTATTTAAAATGCTTGTGCCTTCATTTGCTCAAAGGTAAAATCTGTTCTGCCTAACTGAGGATGGTGAAGAGCTCCCTTATCTTCCAAAATAATTCTAGAGGCTATCCTAATTCTTTTTTTTATTTTTAAGACGGGGTTTCACCATGTTGGTCAGGCTGGTCTTGAACTCCCAACCTCAGGTGATCCACCTGCCTTGGCCTCCAAACTGCTTGGATTACAGGCGTAAGCCACCATGAACGGCCCCCTAATTCTTAAATAACAACAACACGTGGCTGGGTGAGGTGGCTCAGTTTGTAATCTCAGCACTTTGGGAGGAGGTGGGCAGGTCATCTGAGGTCAGGAGTTCGAGACTAGCCTGATCAACATGGCGAAACCCAGTCTCTACTAAAAATACAAAAATTAGCCAGGCGCAGTGGCGCATGCCTGTAATCCCAGCTACTCAGAAGGCTGAGGCAGAAGAATCGTTTGAACCTGGGAGGTGGAGGTTGCAGTGAGCTGAGATACTGCCGTTGCACTCCAGCCTGGGCAATAAGAGTAAAACTCTGTCTCAAAAAATGAGAAAACACCACCACAAAAAGTGCCTTGTTCTTAAAGATTGCCTAAAAATCAAGCATTATCATTGTAGTGTAATATAAAAAACAGACACAGACTTACTGGGTCTCTGGAGACAAAAACTGGTAGACAAACCAAAGGAGCCTTCATCTCATAAAAATGCAGCCATTTATTGACCTCTTCATCAGAGTTCAAGGGGCAGGAAGAAAATTCTGCAGGCTACAACAAAAGATAATTATATAGGTAAACATACTGAATGTTATTAAGAGTTAAAAATTTTTTAAAATATATTTTATTCACTTATTTATTTTTATTTTTTGTGAGATAGGGTCTGGCTCTGATCACCCAGGCTGGAGTGTAGTGGGATGATCACGGTGGGCCTGGAAAAGACACCACAAGTTTCCAGTCTGGTCTGTGGGATTGGCAGCCCACTGGTGGGGGTGGTCTCACTGGAAACCCACCCCCTTCGGTCCAGGAATCTGTCTGCCTCCTGCTGCCATTCACAGAATCCAGGCTGTAGGTGCCAAAGGGTGCCTGAAGGCCAGTGCCAAGCTGCCCTCGGCCCCCGCTGTTACCCTTCTATGCTTGTGTCAGCACCCAAAATCCAGAGGGGGCTGGGGTGGCAGGGGGCTGCTGTGTCAGCCCTACCATGAGCATGTGCACACTTGGCTGGGCTGTGACAACATCAGGGCTCGGCCTGACTTTGCTCCTGGATTGGATGAGGCGTTGACAGCAGGGAGAAGCCAGGCAGTGGGAGCAGGCATTTCCAAGCCTGCAAGAGCAGTGGGGGTCTTCCCAGACCCTCAAGAGTACAGGAATGCCTGGGTCTATAGCCAGTTTGTGCAGCTACAGCTTCATGGAGAGGGTAGGGCTCCTGCCTGCTCCATGGAGCAGGAGACCCAGGTCTATAGCTGCAGGTTTGAGTGGCTACAGCTGCGCTTGGGAAGGTAGGGCTCCTGCCTGCTCCAGAGCCTAACAGCACAGGGATGCCAGGGACCACAGCCATGGCTTGGACAGCTGCAGCGGCACCAAGGGAGCTCCCATGCCAACTCGGAAGGGGTGGGACTCCCACTTGTCCCCAGCTTCCACTGGCTTCGTGGAGTGTGCAGCCCCAGCCATTGTCTCCCTGCTGCAGCCGCTTCAGTCTGCCTTCTGCTGCCATCATCACTATGTTGACCAGGCTGGTTTTGAATTCGTAGCCTCCAGCGGTCCTCCCAAAGTACTGGGATTACAGGCATGAGTCGCTGTGTGGGCCTGGAATTTATCTTTTTTTTTGAGATGGAGTTTCGCTCTTGTTACCCAGGCTGGAGTGCAATGGCGCAATGTCTGCTCACCACAACCTCCGCCTCCTGGGTTCAGGCAATTCTCCTGACTCAGTCTCCTGAGTAGCTGGGATTACAGGCATGCGCCACCATGCCCAGCTAATTTTTTATATTTTTAGTAGAGACGGGGTTTCACCATGTTGACCAGGATGGTCTTGATCTCTTGACCTTGTGATCCACCCGCCTTGGCCTCCCAAAGTGCTGGGATTACAGGCGTGAGCCACCGTGCCCGGCTGGAATTTATCTTTATCTTAAAAACAAACGTATTCAAAATAAAGTTTTAATATATTAACATGGATAAATACATTATCTTGGCAGGTGTGGTGGCTCACACCTGTAATCCCAGCACTTTGGGAGGCTGAGGCGGGTGGATCACCTGAGGTCAGGAATTCGAGATCAGCCTGATCAACATGGTGAAACCCCATCTCTACTAAAAAATACTAGATTAGCTGGGCATGGTGGTGAATGGTTGTAATCCCAGCTACTCTGGGGGCTGAGCAGGAGAATCACTTGAACCCAAGAGGTGGAGGTTGCGGTGAGCCGAGATCACACCAGTCTGGGCAACAATAGCAAAACTCCATCTCAAAAAAACAAAAGAAAAAAAAGAAAAACACATTATCTCACAATCTGATTTACAGTATTATCATCTAAATTTTAAAGTAATACAATCATAGTAAAAAGGATTTGTTTACAGTGTCTTTTAATGTAGAATTCCCAACATATACTTTACAATCCTAAGATCTGGCTGGGCACAGTGTCTTAACATCTGTAATCTGTAATCCCAGCACCTTGGGAGGCTGAGGGGGGTGGATCACCTGAGGTCAGTAGTTGGAGACCAGTCTGGCCAACACGGCAAAACCATGTCTCTACTAAAACTACAAAATGAGCCTGGCGTGGTGGTGTATGCCTATAATCTCAGCCATTCGGAAGGCTGAGGCAGGAAAATTCCTTGAATCTGGGAGGCAGAGGTTGCAGTGAGCCAAGATCGTGACACTGCACTCCAGCCTGGGCAACAGACTCAGGCTTCATTCATTCATTTGTTCGTTCATTCATTTATTGAGGCTCCGTTTGAAAAAAACAATCCTAAGATCTTAAGCATATGTACATACACAAACTCCTTCATGCATGTATTCACATGTGGCCTCTTACCATAATGTGAGATTTCACTTTTCCCTTCTGAATTATGAAAGTACCTCCCATTCCTATAGGCTTATTTCCATAATGTTTTTCCAGGGTCTGTCTCATACAAGTCACAAAGTTAAGTGGTCCAGTTCTTCTTTTGGCTTTCACCTCAATTACCTATAGAGGAAATAAAGATGCATATCATTGATTATGCTGCAAAATAATTACCTGAGTAAAACATTATATAATTCAATGCTATCAAGCAAATATTCTGTTCTTTGCTTAGAGCCCCCAGATCTGAGTTTAAACGTCACAACCCCGTGAGTCTTGATCAATCATATATATGTATATAAACACACACACACACACACACACACACACACACACACACACAAACACACACATGCATATGCATCAGTTATATGTAATTTACTGATAAGTCTTAAGCATACTTTCTTCAACTGAGAAACTGAGAGTTATAGACAAGTCCTACACTGAACTCTAGAGACTCTTAACATACATGTCAAGGCAGTAAAAGGTTGAGAATTACCTGCTTTAAAGGAATTAACCTTTGGTAAGTGGGGGTGAGGAGAAAACGATTACATTTTCTCACTTCCCGTAAAATTCTGTACTGTGTTATCTCCCCAACTCGGAAGTTAAGTATTTTCACTTCCCAATCTCATATCTCAAAGTAGCTGAAGAGGCTATCTCCACTTACAAAACAGGAGAATCTTCACAAAAGCTAATGCGGAAATCATCTTTTGTGTACTAACAGGAAGTAAATATGAAGGCATTAATTTTCCTTACTTTCTTCTTGCTGTAAGTTTTTGCTACCACGATTTCTATCTAGAGCACGTGTGATTTGTCAGAAAGGAGCAAATAACCTATTTACTACCTGTAAGTACACATTATTTATTTTAGCTGTGTGGTTCATGTAGATGACTAACTCACTCCCCAAATTAATTTTCTATTATCTTTTGGTTCTCAGAAAAAGGTCTTGCTTACTAAGTATTACTCTTTTTTTTTTTTTTTTTTTTTTTTTTAGAACAGGTCTTGCTGTCACCCAGGTAGGAGTGCAGTGGCATGATCATAGCTCATTGCAGCCTCAAACACCTGGGCACAAGGGATCCTTTTGCCTCAGCCTCTTGAGTAGCTAGGGCTACAGGCATGTATCACCACACCTAGCTAATTAAAAAAAAAATTGTTTAGAGACAGGGTCTTGCTATGCTGCCCAGGGTGGTCTGAAACTGCTAGCCTTAAGTGATCCTCCAGCTTTGGCCTCTCAAAGCACTGGAATTATAGGGATGAGCCACTGTACCAGCTGTATTATTCTTTTTTTTTTTTGAGACAGAATCTTGCTCTGCTGCCCTGACTGGAACGCAATGGTACGATCTTGGCTCACTGCAACCTCCATCTCCCAGGTTCAAGTGATTCTTCTGCCTCAGCCTCCCAAGTAGCTGGGAGTACAGGAGTGTGCCACCATGCCTGCCAATTTTTGTGTTTTTAGTAGAGATGGGGTTTCGCCATGTTGGCCAGACTGGTCTCAAACTCTTGACCTCAGGGGATCCATCCATCTCGACCTCCCAAAGTGCTGGGATTACAGGCGTGAGTCACTGTGTCCAGCCTCCAGCTGTGTTATTCTTAACCTTAGTTTTAAAGATAACTTTTGCTCTGCATATAGTACTCTCTCAATCTTTCATTACTGGGTTAAAGAGCTTTGACTTAAGAAGCTCTAATTTTCTTTTCCTTTTTATTTTCTTGAGATAGAGTCTCACTCACTGGCCCAGACTGGAGTGCAGTGGTGTGATCTCGGCTCACTACAACCTCCGCCTTCTGGGTCTGAGTGATTCTCTTACCTCAGCCTCTTGAGTAGCTGGGAATACAGGCACACACCACCACACCCTATTAATTTTTGTATTTTTTGGTACAGATGGGGTTTCACCATGTTGGCCAGGCTGGTCTTGAACTCCAGACCTCAAGTTATCCATCTATCTTGGCCTCTCAAAGTGAGAAGCTCTAATTTTCTTAGCAAAACCATATTTAGGGTAGTAACAGTTCAAATTTTTAGCTATCTGAGAATATTTAGGGAATATTGTATTTTTATGGACAAAATCACCTTGCCAGGTTGCCCCTCACTGGCAAAAAGATTAGCCAGTAATGCACACTCAAAATCATGACGTTTCTCACTGTATTTCTCCAGTAGGCACCCTCCATCTGCAGAGTTCACATGAGCAAAATAACTTCCATTCACAGGAGGCTTGTGTTCACTTTTTGTCTGAATAACTGGCATAAACTGAAAAGAAAGTAAGGTAATTAGTCAATCTTTATATCTCTGCAATAAGAATATCTTGAATAATGTCACAAAACATTTAATCCTTTTAAGACATTTTAGTTCAAGTCCTAATAAGAGAACATAAAATATGTAATATTTAATTTTAGACATAAAAAACTTGAAAAACATTTTATAAGATATTTATAGGCCAGGTGTGGTGACTCATGCCTGTCATCTCAGCACTTTGGTAGGCCAAGGTGGGAAGATCACGAGGTCAACATGGTGAAACCCTATCTCTACAAAAAACACAAAAATTAGCTGGGAGTGGTGGTGCACACCTGTAGTCCTAGCTATTTGGGAGGCTGAGGTAGAACTGCTTGAACCCAGTAGGCGGAGGCTGCAGTGAGCTGAGATCACGCAACTGCACTCCAGCCTGGAGAGAGTGAGACTCAGTTTCAAAAAAAAACAAAAAGGAAAAGAAATTTATAGTATTTCTTACAGTGTATCTATAACTTGCATTAAATATCTTATTTTAACTTTTAAACTTTTTTGTTTTATTCTTTAAATTTAATTTAATCAATTATTTTTTCTTTTTAACTTTTAAACGTTTTTCCTAACTTGAACACTAGGCAAATTGTATTAAGTTTCTGCAAATAACTTGTATGACTACTAATAGTCATATCTGAAGAAGTTATGAGAGAATGAGCAGACTGAAGTCTTCTACTAATGAGATTCAAAGTATTTTCTTTTCTTTTTCTGTTTTTTTTTTTTTT